CAAAAAAACATAATCTGGAAGAAGCAATTGTTACCTGATGTTCTTATACAATTTTGATGTTCCTAGGTGTAGAAGTTGCACATTTCCCTACATAACTTTTCATTCAGACAGTAAAACTTAACATTCTCTCTATGAAAAAGATATTTTTTTACAATGATGTGTACAAGGCCCTAGAACCACTTGAGGTAGAGGGTTACAGAGTAAGAGATGCAGTTTATAAGAATATGTGGGGAAGATAACAGTTAACCCAAGACTTGAAGAGGTTAAGATTTTAGTGATTGGGGAAGTATCCTCTTTGGGATCAGTTCCACAAAGCAGTAACAATAGAAACAAATCTTATTCATGTGTCCAATGTCATCAGAAAGGTCATGTTATTGAAATCTCTTTCCTTAATTTCTAATGCTTTGTTGGTGCAGATGTTAATCTTTTTAAGTATCTGATTGCCAAATTCTTCTGCTATTGGTCTTATCTCTTTGGTCATTTAAACATTTAATGGTTTCTTCCTATATCTTCTTGTTCTTTCAATACCATTCTCTCTTATTTTGGCTTTATGACTCTTATCATTAGTTTACAAAGATAGACGTATATAAATTTTTAAATCCTCAAATTTCCTTAATAGTTTATCAAAATGTATGTAGTATATTAAAGCAATCACTTGCATAAAAAAAAAAAAAAAAAAAAAAAGATGTAAATGTTTGCATTAACTCCTGCAATACCTTTAATTCAAATCCTCAAAACATTGTCAACTCATAACAAAACTTGGATACAGAAGGTAACAAATTTTTTTGTTGGTCTTCAATTTAAAAAGGCATTGAAAAGTTCTCAGGTTGACCTGCTTCCAAAAATCCAGCCAAGTGACCCAACATTAGAATATTTCTTTTTCAGAAGGGCTTCTTGGTTGGTCTAAGAACTTTTCAGTAGGCCTCAGTGTAAAATCAAATAAACAACAATAACAAATTAAGAAAAACAAATTTTATTGAATTTGTTTATCACAAAATTTCAATTTCAACTTATTTTCAGTATAATAAAAGTCTATGATTTTATTTACAGGGAAAAGCCCTTTTTCTTATATTCCATTGATTAAGGCTTCTAAAGGGCATTGAATTAGAAAATGCATTAACTAAGTTGTTTTTATGGATGCTAATTTTAATGAAAAATAACATTTTAAAGTTTCCAGTCAAAAGAGGAAAAAAAGAAAGAGAAAAAAAAGGCAAATTGCATGTGATCAGTCGAAAACTGGTGCCACAAAAATGTGACCCTCTTCAGCTGTGACAATTATCAAGATGATATTCCCAGTAGGAAACCGCCTGCAAATCCAGATGCCAGAAAAACATTCTGTTCGAAAAATGTAGAAACCTACAAAAATAAAAATCACATAATGAGAAAACAAGGAAACTGCTTTAAAACAAGATAAAATTCTAGTAATAGTATTAGCATGTCAAAAATTACAAGCAATTATATATTTTTTTTAACGAGACTCATTTAACTATTTTGGTCATCTTAACAAGATCGTTTAAAGTGTTATTTATAATTTTCCTGTTTCTGAAATTTTATACTTTCAAGCAGCCAATAACTTTTTCCTTACAGCTAGCAAAAAATAAGAGCAACTAAAACAGTTAAAACAAAAATATTCTGCCTTAAATTTAAATTAAAAAAGAAAAATAATTCCTTACAATATTAAAGTTAGTTTGCTATAAAATTAGGACAAAATGACCTTGTTGGATCAGTAATGTTAAGAAATTGTTATCTATTCTGAATGAACCACTAACATATTGCAAGAACAACTTGGAAACCTGAAAAATTCAAAAGGTCACATGATTCTTTGAATTTAGAACTGTTTTTAAAATCCCAAATCAGTAATTTGTAATAATTTCAACAAAACATTCAGTTTACAGTTAACACTAATGAAGTCCTTTTTTTCCTCTGATCAAAATGGAACTTTGCAAGTACCTGGCTTCAGCTTTCTGCTCTGTAATTGGGTGAATATTTTCAGTGAAACCACCTATCATATTGTTGCCATTTTCTAGTGGCAAACAAGATTCTTGCATCTCTTTAAATTAAGAAAAATGCACTCAAATCTTATAAATTCTAAAACTTTGTGGAAGCTACTGTTATTATTTGCAAAATCTTAGAAGTGGCTGACAAGTGAGATATAAGTGGTTGTATGAAGCAAATAAATATTAGTGACACACAGATCTATAAGAAATTGGTGTCTTCATTAATGTGCAATAGAAAACTGGGATTGACTTGTCAAGCAGCCTTTTTGGCTATACAGACATTTGCAAGCTACTTACAAAGTAAACTAGGAATGCAGCCTTCTGCCAAAATCTACTCACCTGTCAAAATTTTATTATTGTTATTATTATATAAAGCAGAAAAGTGTTAAAATGCTGAAATTCTGTATAGACAGAGACTGATATATTTTAAGAGGCAAACAAGCACTAAGAAACAATGAAAAATCCAGCAAGAATATCATGAAGAATTGTGATATCAGAATAATGTATCAAGGACAATTATTGAAATAATATTATTTGATAGCTCAAATTATTGAAATAATATTATTTGATATTGTTGATAGCTCAACAAAATCATGAATCTGCTTAGGCTTTGGACTTATAATGGACCTATAATGGGATACTAATAACTATTTATTTTTTGTTATAATAAACTGTCTTCAAGACTTTTATTAACCTAAATAGAATCTGTTGATAGAATATCAATATATTAAGTTTTGACTCCAGCATACTTGAGCTTGAATTCACACTTAATACATGAAATATTTTCAGTACTTGATGATTTCTTTACTTTCAAAGTTGAATCCAAAAAGGGACTTATTATGAGGATTTGCTGAAGTGTTCTTATCACAACTCATTTTCCAAAATTTAACCAAATGACCAAACAAAATTTATAAAAATCTATTTTTGATTGAAATAAGAACCTTTCAGCACCTCCTTATATTAACCTGTAACTTAATTACTAATAACTTTTAATAGATATTAAATTATACACTATGATTATTAGTAAAAGGGAAAATTTTTAGTAGTTTTTATTATGAATATGCACCCTGTTGTTTGAAGGAAATAGTTTTATAGCAATCCATATTATGAAAATCTGGTTTGAAAAACTGTCCAGATAATTTTCAAAGAACTTGTACTGATAACAAGCAAGAATTGTGGATAATTGTTTTTATTTTGATGCCTATTCCAATCTTCCTCATAACAAGCATTTTTATATACAGTGTAAAATATATTACATTATCCTTTTAATCCAATCAATTTTTAAGCCTTATAAGCTGCTTTATGCTTTTCAATTTTAAAATAAATTAGATAAATAGAAGTGCTCAATTCAGAAGAAAGAATTACCTACATTTGCAACAAAATTGGGATATGCTTTCCGTGTGTCCCTTTCAATTGTCTTTCGAGCTGAAGACATGCTTTTCTCAATCTTAGTCCAGTTGACTGTCACATAGCCTTGGTGTTGGGCCACCTTAAAAAATAAATAACAGCAGTTTAAATAAAACAAATTCCACTTTTACACCAATACAAAAAATGAATTGCAATTGTGGTTTTCAATATTAAATATGTCTGAGTAACAAATTCAAGACTTGCTTGCTTGTTATGCGCATATGTGGTATTTTAGCATTCCACTTTGTAATAAGCCAAAATTAAAAGTTAGTTTTACTTGTATTCTTATTAATCCCTAATCAGCAGGAGGTTAATATTTTTTTTTAACATACATGATTATAATTTGTAAAATTTGTTTTGGCTAAAGAAAAAAAAAAAAAAAAATTGTGCAGAGAAAAAAAGATTAATTTTTCCTACATAAAATAATGATACCCTGGAAATATGTTTATTTTTTTTAATAAATTTTATTTCTACATAAAATCATGAAATTATTTTTATTTTATGCAGCAATTTGCAATCTTTTCATTTCTTTTCTTCTTTCAATATTGATGATATAATTTTCTTTTTAGTTTTTATTACAAACAAAAAAATAATTGAATAATTATTATTGGGTTTAAGAATGAAAGCAGACACACACTATTAAGTTATAAATTGGACTGGAAATTGCTTCATTCTTTAATTTTAATGGAATTTACCCAAACAAAAAATCTTATAATATGCAAGTTTTACTGTGTTACAGGAATACACTCACAAATAGAAATTGGATAATATAGATTAACAAATTTACTCAGATTTTTTTTTTTTTTTAGCTCAAAACTAGAAACTCCAAACAGTAATATTTTGCATGATTACCAGTTGTAACTGTGGCCAATTCCATTATTCAAACACAAATATAAAAACTGTAAATCAACATTTCATCAATGTAACTTATTAAGCTAATAGCAAGATAAATAATTTAAGAAAATGCATAGTTATAATCAATTGGCAATAAACTTCTATGTAAGATTTGAATATCAAACAGAATCATGTTCATATCTACACTGCATGACAAATTATTATCGAGATATCTTTATCTCTAATATTTCAAAAACCGTCCAATCAATTCACACAAAATTTTCACACAATGTTGGCATCACTGATCTGCGTAATGTAAACCAACTGGTGCCAACATTGTGTGAAAATTTTGTGTGAATTGATTGGACGGTTTTTGAAATATTAGAAAAAAGTTATCTCAATAATAATTTGGCACGCAGTGTATTTTATAAGACACTATCTTACTGGTATCATAAGTTTTGGCAAAATGTAAAGCTTTTATTGATTGATGCATTTATTTATTTTCTACAGCTTATCAACTATTTGCTGGTTATTAAAGCCACAAAATATTTTTAGGTTATAAGAATGGTTTTGGAGATAATAATGGTTTAGTGATACAAGTCTTCCTAATTAACCCATAGCTGGGAAGAGAAGATGTGTATTCATACCTTTCTTGAGAGTATTTGTGTGTAAGTGAATATAACAAACCCAACAGGATTTGGAGCTTGGCTCTCCAATTAATAATTCCAAGCCATTATCCATTACACCACCTGCACATCCAAGCTTACAATACCTGGTATTCCCAAGTGGCCATTCATCTAGGTACCAGCCAGGCTCGATATTGCTTAACTTTGGTGATTATACAGGAACCAATGTTTCAACATGATATGGTCCTAAGCACGAAGCCTTTATCTTCTTTAATGACTGAAAATCCCAAATCCTATACAATAGCATGGTTTATAATTCAATAACACTAAAAAATAAGTTGTTGCATAGTAAATCACTTGCTGACACTGATCTACCACATGAACAAGGTTTTAGACACTGAAAACTCATTTGTTCTATCCTAATACAACACAATTTTTTTTAAAAAGCTACAGTAAAGCAAAGCTGATGAGAATAGTCTGAATGTAAATAAGGTAAAATAATTTATTTTATTTTAATCATTTCACCCCAAGCAAAGCAATAAAGCCATTAAGATGTAAGGACTTACTGAGTGAGAGAATATGAGGAAAAGAAAACATTATTAAAAAGAGAGAACAATAAAAGAACAGGAATGAAAAACTACTGTCTTGGTCATCATTATCACATTTAGGCCACTATTCATCAGGTGCTGTTTAATCCTGGTAACCTTCAAGGTATTTTGAACTGAACCCTTTATTTAATCTACAGGGGTAAATTGTTCTTGTGCTACTGTCCATGTCAAAGAGTATCTCATCTTGTTCTTATTTAGTACAGTTCATTTATTGCTCACCCTCTTTTGACCAAGTTGAAGTCTACACTACCCACAATGACTGTCACCAAATGCACAAACTAACACTAATCCACTAGGCTATTGTGCCAGGTAGACTTAGCCTTGGTGGAAACAGGGCAAGCAATAGCTGAAGAGTATTAAATAAAAAGAGGAGATATCCCTAGACATGAACAGTGGAACAAGAACAACATACCCCCACAAATTAAATAATGGTTTCAGTTCAGTGTTTTATTATACAGGCCTAATCATAGTGAAACTAAGGGTTAGACCTAGAAGCCTATTTCAAAATGTTTGAATTTCAAGAATTTTTCAAGAAAAGTTAACTCATTTTGAAAATACTTATGACATTTTAATGTATACTTGGGTATAATCACATAAGTTGAAAGAAATAAATGAAACTATGTATTCTAGACACTGGCAACTATTAAACAAAACAAAGATGAAGCCAAAATTTCTGGTAAAAGAGATGATCCAGACAATGTTGAAAGTTTATTAAACAAAAACATTACTTTTCATATACATTATACAAAAATCTCAAAACTTTTAAAATTGGTTCTTTGTTACATGCATTTTAATCTTTGAGTTAATTATCAACTTTTAAAGTGTTTTAATGAAATAGAAACCACATCTGAACTATGAATTCTAGAATAAAAATATAACACACAAGATAAATATGAAAGTAACTTATTTTATTGTTTAGAATTGAATTTTACATTTTTTTGGTTAGAGCATACTGCCTTGTCTAGATTCTCAAATTATTTTTTCTTTACTTTTGTGGTAGAAAAAGTTCTATTTCAGTACATGGACTGTGGTAAAAATTAAATGTACATTTTATCTTTAAATGATAATTGCTAAATAAACTTCAAAGTGACAAACTCAAGATTTCTAAATTATATACTTTTTAGTGAACTTTGCACAAAGTTTGTTTTTTCAATAAACAATATATCAAATATGAAATAAATAAATAAATCTTATACTTACTTCAATTAAATAATTTCAAGTTATTCCAAGCATAAAATTAAAAAATTCTTTTAATCTCATAAGCTGACAGTTCTGGGTTGCACTATAAGTAAATCTGTAGTATAGAACATCATGGTTCAGTTCAAAGTTCTATGAAGGTTATCTAGATCAACCAGTACCAGAAGGCCAGCGATCTCAATGGCAAAAAACACTGATAACAACACAGATGAGTTGCAATAGCAATAAATGTAAATAGTGATAATTCCTCATCTCAGAAATTCAAACAGATGTTATTTTATATTCTTTTAAATCCTCATTGGATTTTTTAATTAAACAATAGGTGGTGGTTATCTTTTACCCAACCTGATATTTTCAGCTCTTAGAAAAAAAAAAGTTATAGACATTCTTACCTGCAACAGCAGTAAACTTGTACCAACAGTTGCAGCAGCAACTTTGCCTACCTTGGCAAAAAGCATTCCTGCACACCTAGTAAGGAGGGAAATAAATAAAATAGGGTGTATATGACATTTTTCACAGAAGTATAACAATGCTACCAAACAATGTACTAACATGTTATAACAGTCATTCCCAAACTTTTACTGACTGTCCCTTCTATCCCACAGGTTATATTTCTTGTGACTTCCCTCCACCATAAATATACAACAAGTATAAATTTCTTTCTTAGTATTAGGTCTACTGCAAATTTAAAACAACACCTAACACTTAAGTCTGATTATAAGAGTCTATATCCTTGGCTCTTGCAGGTGTGAAATGTGATGATTACCAGTCCTACTGCATCAGATATATCCTGTCCAGAACACATCACCCAGATAGACACAAATGTTCAGTCTATTTTATTGTCAAATCACAAAATAAAATAAGACTATACTTTTATGTCTAACTTCTTCTATACTTAAATAACTATACATGTTAAATAACAAAAAAAAAAAAAAAAAACAATGCTTCCTTCATTCTGATGACCTTCTTCACTGCACACCTTTGAAATGGCTGTTAAATGAAGCACGGTTATTTGTTACAGACAACCAGATGAGATTTCACTGGTTCCTAAATGTTGAGAAATGATAAAATGAAAAACTAAACAATAAAAAACATTTAACAATCTTTCTCTAATACAAACATACCTCTTCATTTTAATTGGGTGAAAGAATTAAATAATACTAAAAGAAAAAAGAAGTATTATTTGTTAAAAAAAAAAAAAATGTAGCAAAGTTTTCTAAGTAGTTTTTGCATAACAGCTAACATTTATATTTTACCTGTTAAATATGAAATAAAAGCATCTGCATTCTTAAATAACTAGAATATTTGTTTTTAAATTTCATATGTAGATTTACAATTTTATTTATACATTTTATGGTAATGAAATTGAATGATTTTGTTCCTTATCCTATATATTTCTCATGTTATGAACACTATTTATACTAAGACATTCTAAGATGCATGTTGCATTCAATGTAAAATTGGATTTATACCTTTTTTTTTCTCTTTATCTCTTCAGCTAGAAAATGTACCATTTACTTTTTTTATCGCATGAACATGTCAAGGTGATGACAAGTAAAAAGCCACGCAACTATGTCACTCTTGCCTCTGACAAGAGACAATACTTGAGTTAAAGTATAAAAGTTTTCAAGTTGTCTTAAAATTTTAGAACTATTTTCTTTGCATTCCATGAAATAAAAAAGCAAATATAGTGTGAAAGTTAAGACTAATTATGACAACAAATATTATGGAATAGAATTATTGTCTCAGTTTTACCTCAAATATTTTTATGCTCCGAGTATTTTTGCAGAAGTTAGAATAACTTTCTGACAGATTCATACAGGTCCATTTTCTCTGCTTTCTGATCAGTAAGAAATAATAATTGATTCTTAATATCAGGTAAAGTTGTTAATTAACTAATTATTGGATATCACTAACAAATCACTTGCTAAAAATATTTAAATTGTAGGTTAGTAATAATTCATACTCAATATCTAATTAGAGACAAGCCATGGACTTACTACTAAACATTGACTTGGTTTAGCCTTGACCAGAAACCAATTGAATGCAACAATTGCTGTTTCACTGTAAAAATGTTGATTAAAAAAAAAAAAAAGAAAGAAAAATAACAATAGTGACAGAAAATGTCTATGATTCTGAAGTTACAGCAAAAATTGTTTACTTGAACTAAATCAGAAGAGGGAAAGCAAGTAGAGGCAGAAAAGAAGAAATATTAACCTACAATATGTTTTCACTTGAAAAGATAGCAGGCAAGAGCTAAAAATCTAACAGCCAAATGTCAAAAGTATTGTGCTTCTATTACTGCGCAGAACATGGAGATAAGTGAATTGCCTTATAATCATCTATCCCACAATGATAAAATTAAAGAAATCACAAAATATAAAGTTAGAGATTTTAGAAATTTGGCTTTAGCAAACAGAATTAGTCAGGGTTGATAAAAGATTATGACTTCAAAATTCATAAATTTTCATCAGAATTACAAACAAGATATATTGAATTTATTAAAGCTAAAACTCTTCAGTAATTAGTAATTACCCGAAACATTTGTTAAAATAGAAATTAAAAGAAATGAAAAAAAAATGATTTAACTATTTAATAAAGTATTATATATATATATATATATATATATATATATATATATATATATATATATATATTAATTATTTATTTAAAAATATGATTCCAAATCACTACATAAGAGGTCTCATGTTTCAAAACAAGAGCCAAAAACTTCAATATAATCCTTTAAATTAAATTGAGTTGAAAGTAAAATGGGTTCCGTTCCATCTTCAAGTGAAATTTTTGTTGGAATAACGTATATCTGAAATTTACTTGTTTTAAAATTGAAATCAAAATCCCCATGGTAACAGCTATGGTGAATTGTCTAAATTGGGTAGGCGAGTGTAGGGTGTTTATATTAAGTAGCGGTATAGAGATACTTTCAAGGTGTCAAGTCGGGGAAAAGGTGGGGGTGTCAAAAATGAAACAGAAGATGTATTGGCTATCGTCTAGTTTGCTTGTCTATGGAGATTTATTTATTTATTTTATTTTATTATGAAAGGAATTGTGCATATAAAAAAAAAAACTTTAAACGTTTGTTTTTTGACGACTTCATAAAGGGTTATCTTATATGTAAGGTATTTAAACTACTAATTCAGGCTATGGATTATGAAGTGTGTTATGTTGTATGCATGTTTGTAGTTAATTATTCCTACTATGAATCTGATGATTGGGCTATTTAAACAAGTTATATAAATTTTTTTATCTAATAATTCAAACCAAAAATCTGATGATGCCTACAAAAAAATCGTTAACTTCGTGTCTATTATTTAATAGATTATTATTATTTAGAATTTTATTATTATTTATTATTCCCTTTCAGAATAAAATAAAATAAATAAATAAATCTCCATAGACAAGCAAACTAGACGATGGCCAATACA